TAGTGGTAAATAAATAAAGAAGCCGGCTGTGGTGGTGCACGCTGGTAGGATTTGCTGCAGAAGCAGAGGCAGGCAGATTTCCATAGAGAAACCCTGCCTCAGAGAAATAAATAAAGAAATAAAAGTAAAAGAAATAGAGTAATAATAATAGGTAAATAAATAAGCCACATAAAGATGGAAAATACATAAAAAATCTGGATACTGTATGCTATTGTGTTTTTCAGCTTTTTGATTGCTAAGGAAGGCTTCTCTTTACAGAGATGCTAGGTTGATGTGTAGACTGAAGAAAGACCTTCTGAATAGATAGAAACCCACCTACGATTTAAATGCTATGGCTAATGAGTACGAGAAGGAAGAGCTGTTTTAAGAGTTTAGCTTTGGCATACTTCCTACAAGCTAACACCTTGCATAAGTTAAGATAAGGAGTGAGAACTGGACACAGTTAGATGGATGTCACTACTTTTCTTGAGAAGAGTATGTGAGGTAACTTTTGAGAAAAATCCACTGAGAGTTGATTTAGAGAAAACTGAAGGCACAAAGGTGGATAGTAGTGCACATTTCACATTTTTTCCAGAAAAGATGTTGGTAGTACTTGGGAAAATAGCTATATGTACTTTTTTATGTGTGTAGTAGGATCTTTATACAAATAAACATTATGCTTAATTTCTGAGAAAATATATTTCTACACATGGGGATTTTAATATTACTTGGATTTACTCATAAAATTTGGGTAATCATAATTATAATCACACATAAATATAATCATTAATAATAGATGCCGGTTTAGCTTGTTCTTTGAATGCAATATTTTGTGATTGTGAAAACCCAGAATAGTAGATTTAGGAGAGTTCAATACTTATATTTAATATAAATTAAAGTAACTCACTTTGTGAGAAGTTTCCTATACTCCTCCTAGTCTTTTTAGGCTTTATGTATTAGCTAATTCTTAAGGGAGAGTGGCAGGTGCCATTTTGAGACAGTGTCTCAGGTAGCCCAGACTGGCTAAAACTCATTGTATAGTTCAAGATTATTTTCTACTCTAGATTCTCTAAGGTCTGCAATTGCAGGTATGCTACCCCACTGCAGGATCATATCCTCTAAATAGTTAGAGAAATTGAGACTACTTTCAAAGCACAAAATCAAATTGTCCTGTACCACTTGGGTCCTTACGATAAGACTGTTTCTGACTGCATGTGTACTTACTATTATCATGTTTGTTCAGCCTTTACATAAAAGGCTAGTAACAGTGAGTGAAACAAAATTTCTTTTCTTTCAAAAATATAACAGAGTTCCTACATTTTACTTTAAGGAAAATGTTACTGCACTTAATTATTTTCATTCCAACACTCATTAATTCCACCAAAGCTTCAGTGTAGGTTAGAGTCATAGCCAACACAACTCCCAATTTTTGTTGAATCATGTGTGCAAAGTTCACACCACGTAGTCTTGCGATAGTGAAAAGCAATCTAAAGTATGAATAACCTTTTAGTAATATTTGCTCAGTAAGTCATACTGCAGATAAACAATCCAAGTTAGATATCTTGGAAGGAAGTTTCTCTCAGAAATAACCCCTCTACTTCTGCTTTGAAAATAGCATTTCAGCAACTTCTACTCCCATTTGACTTCACCTCAGTGTGCAGTTACTTCTGGATAATGCACCGTGAATTTCTTCTCATTTATGGAGCCCTTGCCAGTTGATCATTGTTCATTTATTCCATCTTTACTGGGCCTGAATACTGAGCATCTCACTCTCCATATAGACACCAATTCAGTTATTTTGAGGCTTATTTAGAAGTCTGGACAATGTTGCAAAAATATTACTGTTATGTTTTTCTACCTGTGCACAAGAAATCTTTTCATTGGCTGATATAATTAATTACAGCTCTTCAGGAGGCTGAGCCTATTCAATAGGCTGAGACCTATTCAAGAAGTCACATATTTTAAGGCTGGACTGAGAAATTTAGTGAGACTCTGTCTTAGAATAAAATACAGTAGGAACTGTGGCTGTGGCTTTGTGATTATGTGTTTACTTTCCAGTACCACAGAAAATTTGTAGATTAATCAATCTATAGAACAATTGGCCTACTTTTCCTACATAAAACTGGAAATTATGTATGATAATCATATTGGCTTTTTCTGTGTTTTTCCTATTTCTTTCTCTTTCTCTCCCTCCTACCTTCCCTTCTACCTTGCTTCCCTTCCCCTCCTCTTCTCTCTCTCACATGAATTACTTTTGGAGTTAACCATGATCCTGGCTTTAAAGTAGTTAATGTCTCTGAGTTTCTGTATTTTGATATCTGGTATAAGTGGGGTTGGGTAGTTTCAGTGAATATAAGGAAGTCTGAAATCTCATAACTGAAATCACTGAGAAGAACTTTAGAAATCCCTATTATATTAATTTCTACTCTTATGAAATACCTAAGTGTGAATATCAAATTAGATAAAACTCTAATTGTAAAACAGGAGATACTTCAGTAGATTCTCAAAAAATTAGAATAATTTCTCATCTTTCTGCACATTACATAGTGTTATTTAAGGTATGGAATATATGTATATTTGGTACAAGTATCAATATCAATTATTGTTTTATATATATTTGTGTTAAATGTTTTTTGTCAACCAATAAATGTGGTAGAAAGATGCAAATGTCTCAAAGGGATACAAGATAGATGGAATTAAAAGGAACTTATCATCATAGCAATGAATCTATAAATGAAATCTTATGCTAACAAAACACCTGGGACTGGCTGGAGACAAGAAAAATTAGCAAATATTTTCCTAGAATAATAAGTGCAATGTATTATAAAGAGACCATCTTAATTTGAAGAGTTTGAGCTCTGTGGATGTTGGAATGCCTGGGTTTGAATACTATTTTGAACAGGATTTTAATAGTTTGCTGTGCAATTTCCTTTAGTCCCCTTAAAACTTGCGTTACATTGAATTAATAAGTCAAATAATTTCAGGATTGCAGTAGCCAATTTAATCTTATGTTCAATAGATGCCTTACATATAAGCACATAAACAAAGCACATTTATTATATCAAAGGTAAGCTAACTTGGGGTTATAAGAAAATACTTAAATTACCTTCATTATTAGGAGACACCTAAATCCACACTTCTAGAGATAATTGAAAAAATATTACACATTGATTTTCATAGCAAAGTCGCTATTTTTCTGTTGTTGCTTCTTGGTTGATGAGAATATGACAGCAAGACACTGCTTTACAGATCTCAAGAATGTTATTTTTTATCAATCATGTATTTATAAATCAGTAGAGAGTTTAGGAGTCTATGTTTAACTGGCAACCTAGTTATTTGTCACTTGTATTAGAAAGTGATAACTCCCTTGCTTGCGAGAGAGCTTGTTGCTTGTTTGAAGACCCCATAGAGAATGGAGACTGAACAATGAATTTTTCCATAAATGTTGGCTACCTTAACTTCAAATCCTATTACGTTACCACATGTCTTCAGACAGGAAATTGGTTGATATTATAATGGCATCAGTGATGTAAAACTTAAGGTCATTTTACTCTCCATGGTGCAATTATAATAAAAATATCTAACATTCATATGCAACACATCTATTTTATATGAGTTTAAATCTAACACTTTTATCTTCATTTTTATTGGTTTTAAAAGTAAAGCAAACTGTATAACTTAAACTTTTGTGTTATGATGCCTTTTAATCTCTAAATTATAACAATTATTTTATAAAAGTTTCTTTAAAACATTTAAGATAGTATACATAATAGTATAAGACTGTACAGTGCATAGAAGTAACATTCAATACTTTCAAATAATTTTTGTCAAATAAAAATGCAGAAATCTAAATGTAAATTAATTTATTTATGTTTTGGTTTTTGGCTACATAACACTTTTAATTTCTCCTTAGTGAAGTATAACTACACCATAACTAATAAAACTGATGACAGCTTCCAACAGTGTATGAGATCTTAAAGTTACAGATATATGGATAAATCAACAATGATAGAAAGTAGCTACAGTTGAAGGACTCATAAAATTTGTAGGAATTACTGCTGTGTAAATGAATAAAGAAAATTATTTTATTCTACTGAATTCAAAGTGCATTTATAATATAAGTTTTAGACAATCATTGTCAACGTGTGTGTCAACGGGGGGACTGGCAGTCTATAGGACCTCTGGCAGTGGAACTAGTGCACGAATGGGTTTTGGAAGCCCATTCCCCATAAGGGATACTCACTCAGCCTAAATACATGGGAGAAGACCTAAGTCCTGTCCCAAATGACGTGCCAGACTTTGATGACCTCCCTTGAGGAGTGGGATGGGAGTTGATGAGGGGAATGGAAGGATGCGAAGTAGAAGGAACTAGGATTGATACTTAAAATAAGATTGTTTTTAATTTAAATGCAAATTAATAAAAATGTATTACCCTAAGCACAAAAATCTCTAACATGATAATAGAATGTTGTGTTTTGCTAAACTTGTCTATAATCAATAAAAATTCAAGATTCAGAAAAAAAGACAATCATTGTGAGTATATATAACTACTTAAATAAAATTACTGTATGAAATTGTACTTTTTCATATATGCGTATCTGTTGGTTCTTCCAAAGATATAGGACTATCAGAGTGTTTAGACTGAAATAATTCATATAAAGAAAAATGGAAGCAACTAAGTTAAATTTACACCAACTAAGTATAACAGATATGCATTTGCATAAAATTATTTTAATTTCCTATATTAAGAAATAAACATGAAGACCAACTTTTAGTATAACCAGTCATGATTCCGAGTTAGATTACTTATTAAAATAGAGACAATTTAATTATAATAGGATAATATACTAGCATGGATTTAAGGCTTAATAATATTAACTCCATTTTAATAGTTATGTTGAACAATGGCTAATTACAATTTTAATTAAGACAAATTAAAACCCATATTTCTTCTTTAAAATGTCAAGTAACTCAAATCTCAAAAGACTAAAAAGTTTTACAGAAATAATTAATGTACTTACGTATTCTCCACAAAACATTTTGAAGACAATGAGCAACCAGGGTAGACCACGAGAATTTCAGTAAAGCCCCCAATTCACAGGTTGGTCCCCGTGCAGCTGAAATGGCTGACGTTGACCTCACAGCCAGTTTTAAATATGTGCACCTGCTCAACCCAGTATCTTGGGCAAGAAAATGCAGAGGCAAATCTGGAACAGTGTGACTAAAGGTACAGTATTTATACTTGGCTATCAATCATAGTAAATAGATAGAATTATTACACAAAATAAATAGAACCAGTAGTCCAACCCTTCCTTGTGTGTTGATTTCTGGAACGTACATTAGTCAAATAATGAAAAAGTGTAACCTTTTGTAAAAGCTGATGACTCATGGAAAGGTAAGCCAATTAGGCACAGAGTTAATGGTTTATTTTGTGATTAATTATTATTAGCACCCATACTCTTTGAGGTCTTCTGGCGCTAGTTCCATTATTTTTCAGTTTCTAGGTTGTGATTTTTTAAGACTTTCATAAGAAAAATATTTAACAACATTTTTATTAATTATTTGAAAATTTCATACTATGTACTTTGAACATATCCACTGATATTATATAATCCTTCCATTATCATTCTTCTCCCCTTCCTTCTGAGCAGATGTTGGGATTTCTTCTTTCTCTCTTTGGTTTTCCTTCTTTATCCACCTAGTCCAGTTTGTGTTGTCCAGCAACTGGAGAGTAGAGCATATCCTGGTGTGTGCTTTATCGACCTGAAACCATAATAGGGAAGAGAGGAATCAGAGGTGAATAGCTCCTCAGCTAATGGTGAGATTTCATGTCTGCCTTCCTCTCTCTATGATGGAAATTTAGTCTGTCTGCAACTTCTTGGGTCTTGCACAAGTTGTCACAATGGTTCATATGTAACACGTGTTTGGCAAGCACTGCCTTCTTGAAGCTATCTATCACATATGGCTTTCCACCCTATCTTCCAGGGATACCCCTGAGGTCTGGGTTGGGGATGTCATGTGGATGTCCCATTTATGACTGAGAACTTCACAGTAGTTTATTCTCTGCAGGTTGACACACTAGGGGTCTCTTTGCTGATTGCCATATTACGTAAAACTTCTCTGACCTGGACTGAGGGATGCTCTGATCCATGAGCATCACAATAGATCATTAGGTGTCATTTTAACACTACATCCATTGAGCAGAGTAATAGTTACTCTATGTCTGATCATTGTCAAAGCATACCATATGGAGGATCTGAGTGACTGTCTGGTAATAGAAATCTTTGAAGAAATACAATTACCATTATTTTTCATATTTCTTTGTAAGGTGTGCTGTTTTCATAATTATTACATCTGAAGGAAATAAGTGTTTAAAATTCTTCAAAACAAAGGCTTTATTAGGAGCTGTCTATCTTTGTAATTTTATATAACATTCTAAAAATGAAAAATGTGTTCATTTACTGCTAATTGACATTTAGTAAATATGGCACTGTATTCATTTAGATTTTGAAGTAGTAGCTATGAATAATTCTTCACCAAAGAACAGAATATAGTAAGATAAATACAGGCAAATATCTAAGATTCCAGAAATGCTATTCCCAAAATAAATCAGATGTTAAAATATGGATAAAAATAAATAAGCAGGGAGCATTTTATAATATATGTAATTTTATATAGTAACCAGAAAGATATCTAAATTATTAATCATCTAATTTATAAAAGCATTTGGTTTATATCTTGGTTCTATAAGGTATGTAAAAAGCATGCTGCAAATAGTGAATGTTTGACCTCTTGAATGCAATACCTTTTTGTGACCACTGTAAACTCTACACATACATGGTGCATAAACATATATGCATGCAAAACACCCATGCTTATAAAATAAAAACAAACAAATCTTTTAAAAAACAAAAAATGCATGCTGCTTGCTTGAAATGAGATCATTATGAACTCAGAATGTGTGTTTGTTTGTATTCATCTGTACTTCTCTCTAACATAGATTTTCCACGTGTATATGTCTAGAGAGTGTACCATACCTGTTAAAAATAATTACAATTATAAAGCATAGGATTCAAAACTGGAAATGAAAGAGAAGTTTTTAACTTTAATATTACTATTTTCTGTGATAAATTAAAAAGTTGTGGATCTTACAGTTTTAGTTACAGAGTTAATATTCCTACGTGAAATGATACTTGTCAAAATATTTGAGTTTAAAACATTTTCTCTTACATAACTAAATAGTATAGAGCAAAGAGACCAGATACTTCCCTCATTTCCATCCAGAAAATGGACAGTTAGCATGTGTTTTTATTTATCATTGTTTTGTTATTTAGCTTTTCAAGCATCCTTGACAGAAAATGTGACTTCCGGGATTTGTCTTAGATTTTGCATTATGTCAGGGAAATAGGATCTTAATTCAGGAAGCCAGCATGACAAAGTTTGAAAAAAATAAGGAAATGACAATTTATTAGATAATTGTGTTTTTATGTAGCTAATTCTTCATAATAGAAACACTTTAAAGACTCAGTACTAACTGGCTTGAAATTAATTATGGATTGAGTACTTAGCATTTATTAAAATTATACTTGGAAATGGTATTTGTCATTTTGCTCTATTGTAAGCATTGTTTGCAATGGATACACCTCTATAACTGAATTTAATTTTATAGAAATTCTGAAGAGTATGTAATATGACATATATTATAGTGTAAGAAAAACAAAGAGATATATATTCAACCTGAACTTAGTCCACTGACAGAATCTGTACTTTTAGCCTGTTGTGTAGGTAATCTATCAAGCAGGAAACTATTGCAAGGCAAAGAGGGGTATGTTTCCTGATTCAGAAAGATTTATAGTTTAGCAGGTAGAGAAATGAATAGAATAAATGAGAAATGGTAAGTGCCATAAGCAAATCACACAAAATGTTCTGGACAGCTCTATAGCAGCAAGTAACCCTAAGCAGTAAGGAAATGAGTAAGTCTTCATAGATGAGGTAGCCTTTGAAGTTGACTTTCCATGGAAGGAAAGGGCTTTCCAGATGGAGAAGTCAAAAGAGCAGCACCAGCAAGATATCAATGAGGTGGGAGGGCATGCATGCACTGAGTTTTCTTAATTCCAAAGTTGACAATGTTGTTGTCAAATGGGATGTAAGAAAATTGCATAACAGAACTCTTAAAAATATTCTGCAGTAATTATCCATAATTTGCTTCATTAATTTGTTTTAAATTTCAACCTGGGGTTAAAATCCAACAAAGGAGAAACAGCTGTGATGAATAAATTAATGGAACCAGAGAGCAGAAATCCAATTTTAACAAAAACGACTTCTGGGCTAGGGAGATTGTTTACTACTTAAGTGCTTGTGGTTCAAGCATGAGGACTTGAGTTCAGATCTGTAGCACCCAGCATGGAAAAAGCTGGGTATGGTGGCTCACACCTGTAAGCCATCAGAGACAGGCAGGCCCACCTAGCCACCTGGCTGAAACACAGATTCAGGATTAAAACAGAAACCTTGTTTCAGAAAAATAAAGTGGACAGCAGAAGAGGAAGATAGCCAAGATTATTTCATTTCGTTCCTTTTCCTTCATCCAACTTTTTCTTCTTCCTCTTCCTCCTCTTACCTGTGCTCCTCTGCCTTCTCTTCTTTCTCCCAGTTTCTCTTCTCAGTAGTTTCTCTTCTTAGTAGTTTCTTTTTTTTTTTTAAGATTCTGTAAGCTGATTCAGGTAGGTTAAGAATTTTTTTCTTTTTTCTTTTTTTAAATTTATTTTTAAGTTTAAATTTAGATTAGAAACAAGGTTGCTTCACAAGTCAGTTCCAGGTCCCTCTCTGTTTTCCTCCCCTCCTCCCGTGCCCGCCATCCAACTCCCCCCCAATATCCCCTCATTTACCCAGGGAGGGTGAGGCCCTCCATGGGGGTGTCCATAGTCGGTCATTTCATCCAGGGCAGGGCCTAGACCCTCCCCCAAGAGTTCAGGGTGAGAGTGCATCTCACATTGCTTGATGGGAGTCCAAAAGTCCATTTGTATACCTGGGATAAATACTGATTTATTGCTCAATGCTCAATAGATTACCTAGGCCTCCTCACTGACACTCACATTCAGGGGGTCTTGATCAGTCCAATGCTGGATTCCCAGGCTGATGCCTGGGATTCAAGAGTTAACCCTTGTCAGGTCAGCTGTTTCTGGGATTAAACCAGCCCAGTCTTAATCCCTTTGGTCATCAGTCCTCCCTCTCTGTTACTAGTTTTCTTGAGTTCAGCTCAGTGCTTAGCCATGGGAGTCTGCCTCTTCTTCCATCAGCCACTGAATGAAGGTTCTGTTTCCCACAATCTCTGGCCATGGGATTGTAGGCCGGCACTCCCCAGATCTATGTCTAAAATCCATATATGAGAGAGTATATGCCATGTTTCCTTTTTGTGACTGCGTTACCTCACTCAGGATGATTTCTTCTAGTGTCATCCATTTACCTGCAAATCTCAGGATTCCATTCTTTTTTCTGCTGAATAGTACTCCATTGTGTAAATGTACCACATTTTCTCTATCCGCTCTTCGGTTGAGGGGCATCTAGGTTGCTTCCAAGTTCTGGCTATTACAAATAATGCTGCTATGAACATAGTGGAACAGACATCCTTGTTGTATGAATGGGCATCTTTTGGATATATGCTTAAGAGTGGAGTTGCTGGGTCTTGTGGTAGGTTTATTCCCATTTTTTCTGAGGAATGTCTATACTGATTTCCAAAGTGGCTGAACAAGTTGGCACTCCCACCAGCAATGGAGGAGTGTTCCCCTTTTACCGCATCCTCTCCAGCATAAATTGTTGTTGGTGTTTTTGATTTTAGCCATTCTGACAGGAGTGAGATGGTATCTCAGAGTTGTTTTGATTTGCATTTCCCAGATGGCTAAGGATGTTGAGCACTTTCTCAAGTGCCTCTCAGCCATTTTAGACTCCTCTATTGAAAATTCTCTATTTAGTTCTGCAGCCCACTTTTTAATTGGATCCTTTGGTGTTTTGGAGACTTGCTTCTTGAGTTCTTTGTAAATTTTGGAGATCAACCCTTTGTCAGATGTGGGGTTAGTGAATATTTTTTCCCATTCTGTGGGCTGCCTTTTTGTCTTGCTGACTGTGTCCTTTGCCTTACAGAAGCTTCTCAGTTTCAGGAGGTCCCATTTATTAATTGTGGATCTCACTGTCTGTGCTACTGGTATTATGTTCAGGAAGCTGTCTCCTGTACCAATTCGTTCAAGGGTACCACCCACTTTCTCTTCTAAGAGGTTGAGTGTGGCTGGATTTATGCT